TGGCCACAAGGGGATTTTTATTCTTCTTTGGATTTGAACCTGGGACCTCCTCGTACTTTTGACAAATGGAGTCGAGCTCAAACCAATCAGACACCACCCTTGTTGTTCATATCATTGTTTTTGCCATTAAAAAATTATTTATTTTATTTCTATTACTTGATGCGCCTTCTAGTCTTAAATTCATGGCTCTGCCACTATGTTCAAGCGACAATAGTTTACATCATTAGCAAAAGAATCATGTATATGATGAAAGTCTCTTAGGACACTCAGAAGTTTATATTGCCAAAGTGTTAGGGTTATTTTAACACGTTTCTAGGAGACGATATCAAGTATGTTTCGAGAGGTGTTCCTATACATTTTCCGAGCATGAGTTAAATCACTTTATCATGTTGTATGTACCATATTATAGTAATTATATAGATCGTGTTGATAATCTTTTCCTAGAAATCTTGCCATCTTGTTTGACATTCGTTGTCACCATTTCTCTTACTTTTGTCGCATGAAAGTTAAGTGACGAAGAACTCGTTTGTAATGGTTCGTGCTCTCCCTTAAAAGAGAGTTTATATATCAAATATCTTCGTTGTTCTCCAAAGTGGATGTAAGACAAGGAGTTCGAACTATCGTAAACCCCAAAACCTTTATTTTTGCATCGATTTACGTTGTGATTTTGTAAGTTATTATTGGTTATCAAAAGGGATAAAGTTTTGAGTTATCATTGCACACACAATGCATTCATTTGGAAGCTTAATTTAGGTTATCATACTAATCACTTGTGCTTGATACAATATGGCCTGTTTCTAAGAACAAATTAGGGCACCAAGTGAATTATTTATTCGAAAATGGCTCGTTTCCTTAATGTAAGTGATTTTAGTCGAGTTTTGTGATCATATCCCAATTGTCAAAAATCATGTAAATGGCGAGGCTTTTACTCCAGTTTTGTTATCATGCAACGTCAAACCGCCAGTATTTAAGCCATGTTTGACATCCATACGTTAGTTTTTTAAAAAGCTATTTCAAGTAGCGTTTCAATAACTTTGACGTTTCTTTTTCCAATTATAGTTCCTTATGTTTGTCAACATGTTCTTTTAGTTAATTTTGTATTGTCATCTATCTTCTCAGCTAGTTTCTATCAAACATTAATAGTTAATCTATGTTGGCTAGCTTTTCAGCCAATAACTGACTTATGAGCTTAACCAATTTAGAAGACAAAAAAGAGTGTTTTCCATTTACAGAAGGTTGTCTATGTCACTTGGTTCGAAAAGATGGTGTGTATTAGAAAAGTCCTTTGTTTGGATTCATATCCAATTAGTTGTAGTTTTTATTGAACATGATAAAATGGAAATTATAGGCATTTTCATGACCAAATATCGTGTTTAGATACTGACTTTTATTTTGTTTGTTGCACGAAATAGTGAAGAAAGAGAAAGACGATGATTTAGAAGGAGATGTGAAGGACGACTAACTTCATCATTTCTGTGCCAATCGATGATACTAAATACATACTCAAAAAGATAACAAGTTTTTATTCTTGTTCCCTTAAACCTAAACATTATTATCGCTCTATCTACTGTAGGATCATGTGAGACAAAGATGTTTTCGTGAGACACGTGAGACAACATTTTTACACTTGAAACTTCACAACAAAATACTGTAAAGGTAAACACTGTGAAGGTAATACCTTCAAGGTAAACACTGTGAAGGTAATACCTTCAAGGTAAACACTGTGAAGGTAATATATTCACAACGTTTTTGCTGTGAAGTTTCAAATGTAAAAATGTTGTCTCACGTGTCTCACAAAAACAATCTGGTCTCACATGAACCCAACCACACACGCACATACATATATATTATATATAAGAGCGATCAAATGAAAATCACCCTCATTTGTATAAACCATACAAACCACCCTCATACGTTGATTTCATTGTTTAATCTTATGAAATTTTTTCATGAAATTGTTTTATCTTGTGAAATTGTTTCATATAATAACTTTTTGATGAATTTGTTTCATATATGGTTATGAAATTGTTTCATATAATATTTAATGAAATTTTAATGAAACTATTTCATGTATTTTTTTAAAATTAAAATAATGAAGATGATAATATCCATGATTAACACCCTCCACAATAAAAATGGTTAATCAACCTCTCATAATTACAAAAAAAATGAACAAAATGAAAAATTATGATTGGTTGAATGTG